AACACCAAATGTTTAGAATCTGTTGAACTGCAAGAGGTACTAGCTATATTGAAGAGTCAAGAGCAGAGGTTTGATTTGCATTCCTCATATGCAACTGAGAGAGCATTTTCTTCTCTTACTGTTAGTTCAAAAGGGCAGAATCGAAGTTATGCTCAGTCTAGTACTTCTAAACCACAGAGAATTTGGAATCAAAAGGGTAAGAAATGGGATTCAAAACCAAAGTTTCAGCAAAAATCATTCACAAATGTTGCACAGAATAGTACTTCCTCACAGGTTATGGGTCAAGAGAGTGTAAAACCTCAATGTAAGGTGTGTTCAAAGTTTCATTATGGTGAATGTAGATATAAGGGGAAATCTAAGTGCCATAACTGTGATAGATTTGGTCATTGGGCCAGAGAGTGTACTGTTGGAAAGTCTGTTCAAAAGGCAAATTGTGCAAGTCAAATGGACGTGACAGGAAACTTATTTTATGCAAATAATGCAGTTGCTGAGACTAAGGTTAATGGAGATTGGTACATAGATAGTGGCTGCAGTAATCATATGACAGGAAATGTTGATCTTCTTGTTGATGTGAATACAAATGTTGCAGGGAAAGTTCAAATGCCAACAGGAGTGCTAGTTAATGTGGCAGGAATGGGATCACTAGAAATTGAGACTAACAGAGGAAGAAAATACATCCGAGAAGTCATGTACTTACCTGGTTTGAAAGAGAATCTATTAAGTGTAGGACAAATGGATGAGCACGGATATTATCTTGTGTTTGGTGGACATATGTGTACTGTTTTTGATTGTCCTTCTCTGAAATGTCAAATTATCCGTGTAAAAATGAAAGAAAACAGGTGCTATCCTCTATCTCTACGGCCTGAGAAACAACTTGTGTTGAAGACTAGTTTTGCTCATTGTTCTCTGACTTGGCACAGAAGATTAGGTCACCTAAACTTTGGTGGAATCAAGAAATTGAAGGACAAAGACATGGTTCATGGTTTACCATATCTAGATGAGTATGACAAAGTGTGTGAAGGCTGTCAATATGGTAAGCAACACAGAGAAAGGTTTCCTAGTGGTCAAGCACAAAGAGCAGGTGCTCCACTTGAATTGGTTCATGTTGATTTGTGTGGACCGATGAGAAACGAGTCTACTGGAGGAAACAAGTATTTCATGTTGCTTGTAGATGATGCAACCAGGATGATATGGGTGTATTTTCTTAGATTTAAATCTGAAGCTCTTACTTGTTTTAAGAAATTCAAGGCCATGACTGAGTTGCAAAGTGGAATGAGGGTAAAATGTGTAAGGAGTGATAGAGGAGGGGAGTTCTTATCAAATCAATTCAATCAATACTGTGACACTGAGGGAATCCAAAGGCAACTGTCTCTCTCTTACACTCCACAACAAAATGCAGTGGTTGAAAGGAAAAACAGAATTGTGATTGAAATGGCCAAGTCTATGCTTCATGACAAAGGAATGCCTTACTATATGTGGGCAGAAGCTGTGCACAGTGCAGTATATATATTAAACAGATGTCCTACCAAATCACTGGATAGCATAACACCTTTTGAAGCTTACAGCAAAAGGAAACCAGGTATTGCTCATTTGAAGATTTTTGGCTCAGTTTGTTATGTTCATACTCCATCCGAGCTAAGACACAAGCTAGAACCCAAGAGTATAAAAGGAGTCTTTGTTGGATATGCAAAATGTGAGAAAGGGTATAGAGTATTTGATCCAATCTCTAAGAGACTGATCCTGTTAAGAGATGTTGTGTTCGATGAAAACTCAGCTTGGGATTGGGAAAGAAGCACAGAAAGACATATGTCACTGCCTATTTATGAGTTTGACTCTGTTGATACACCAAGAAGTGAGAATACAGAAAATGACACTCAAGTTTCAAGTGGTTTATCATCTGGCATATTGGAAAAAGCTGCAAGTGGTATTGATGATACACAGATCAACTCACAGTCAAGTGCAGGTGTGAGTGACACTCAGTCATTTGATCATACTCCATTAAAATGGAGAAAGCTGGATGATGTACTTGCTCAATGTAATCTGTGCATTATAGAACCAGAGAAATATGAAGATGTGACTAAGGATGAATCTTGGATGAATGCTATGAAGGATGAGCTCTCCATGATTGAAAAGAATGCAACCTGGGAGTTAGTAGACATGCCAAGTATCAAGCCTATAATTGGAGTAAAATGGGTCTTAAAACCAAGCTCAATCTGGATGGAACTGGGCAAAAGAACAAGGCAAGGCTTGTTGCAAAGGGATATGCCCAGAAACCAGGAATAGACTACAATGAGACCTTTGCTCCTGTTGCTCGGTTAGATACAATCAGAACCCTTATAGCATTGGCTGCACAAAAGAGTTGGAAACTCTATCAACTTGATGTCAAATCAGCTTTTTTAAATGGTGTTCTAGAGGAGGAGGTTTATGTAGAGCAGCTTGATGGTTTTGTAGCTAAAGGGGAGGAAGACAGAGTATATAAACTTCACAAAGCCTTGTATGGTCTAAAACAGGCACCACAAGCCTGGTATGGAGAGATTGATACATATTTCTCACAGTGTGGTTTTACAAGAAGTTTAAGTGAACCAACACTGTACATCAAGGCAGAAGAGAAAGACATTTTGATTGTGTCGATCTATGTGGATGACATAATCTATACTGGGAGTAACAAACAAATGCTTGAAGAATTCAAGGAAGACATGAAACGAAAGTATGAGATGACTGATTTGGGTCTTCTCCATCATTTCCTTGGAATGGGAATAGTTCAATCAACTTCAAGCATTTTCATCCACCAAAAGAAATATGCAAGCTCTTTATTAGACAAATTTGGTCTAAAAGAGTGCAAACCTGTGCTTACTCCACTGGTTGCAACTGAGAAGTTAACCACGGATGATGGAAGTGGTGCAGCAAGTGAAGAGTTATACAGAAGTATGGTGGGAAGTCTCCTATATCTCACTGCAACCAGGCCTGATATTACGTATGCATCCAGTCTGTTAGCCAGATTTATGCATTGCCCTACCAGTAAGCATGTTGGAACTGCTAAAAGAGTGCTAAGATACATCAAAGGCACACTAGATTATGGTCTGGAATATGTGAAGGGTAAGAACTCAATGTTAATTGGGTTCTGTGACAGTGACTGGAGTGGATCAATTGAGGACAGTAAAAGTACTTCTGGTTATGCCTTCTCCTTTGGCAGTGGAGTATTCTCATGGGCATCAGTGAAGCAAAATTGTGTAGCTCTTTCCACCACAAAAGCAGAGTACATCAGTGTTTCAAAAGCAACTACTCAAGCCATTTGGTTGAGATTTGTTCTTGAAGACTTTGGTGAATTTCAAACCGAAGCCACTCCAGTGCACTGTGACAACACCTCAGCAATTGCAATCACTAAGAACTCTGTGTTCCATCAAAAGACCAAACACATTAACAGAAGATACCATTTCATCAAGGATGCACTGAAGGATGGCATCATTGATCTGGTGTACTGTCCAACTAATGAGCAACTTGCTGATATTTTCACAAAACCTCTGCCTAAAGATCGGTTCAATTATCTCAGGAGCATGCTTGGAGTGAAATCAGCTCAAAACTTAAAGGGGAGTGTTGAATTATAAGTCTCTAGCTGATTGAGTATTAGAAATAAGATGAGTTTAATGTGTGTATTCACTTGAGCATATTTGCCAAGTGTACAGTAAAAAAAAAGATGTAAGGCCATGAGTGCCATGTGTTGTTTGATCCATGTAATTAGGTAGATGAGTGACTAAGATTAAATGTAGTGTTTTTGTGTGGTCCTAAAGCTAAGGCCATCAATTAATGTAAAGGAGAGTTAGTGCTCATTTTATGATGTAGTAGAAATATTCCTCTGCAAAACTTTTTGCATGAGAGAACAAGAAAAAGAAAACTTTCGTTTCAGCTTCTTCTGTCTTTGCTTTGCTTCTGTTTAGCTTCCTGTAAATAAAACCCAGCAAAATCAAGTTACACTAGCAAGAATATCAATCAATTAGAACATTAATACATAATATTTTAATGGGAATCATTAAAAGTTCACAAAGGTCATCTAAGTACGAAGTGGCTCCGCCCTTGGAAGAAATCAACGGTGACACGCCTGATAATCAACGAATCAAAAATTTCACTAAGCTTATTTGAAGGCCAAAGTATGAAACCTGACAACTGAGAAACAACACCACTTCTCAAGCCAGTAGTGTCTGTTTTGCAACGAACAATCTCAACTCTATAAATCTTAAGGTGAGGTTGTGTGTAGAATTTAATAATTCAGAGGTGTCTAATGCAATTATTATACAAACTAAAATTCCTGAACTATGAGACCTTATTTCAAGTTCTTCATCTCAGAAAACGTGATGAATATTTTAAAGATTTAATTAAACTCAACAAAAAACAATAGATTATGAGATGTTAAAAAAATAGACGTGTCATTGCGAAATTGGTAGATGTTTCGAATGAGCAAGTGAGATATCTTCTAATTAAAACCAAAATCGATGATAAACCCATTACTTAATCTGGTAAGATTTTCTTCAACTGCAAGACAATTTTAGAAACACATTCTCTACAGAATCTCTACTAAATAAAACTAATGAGATGATTTGATAAGACCTGGTTTCGGTTCTTATCCTAATACATATCTAATTCTATCCAGATTCTTTTGCTAATCCAAAACTTAAATCTTTAACTAAATTCCTGCTATAAATATACCCCAGTGCACAAGCACTGCTTCCTCAGCCAGCGTTACACTCTATCTTTTTTTCATAATTCACCTCCTCTCCTCTCTTGAAAGGTCTGCAAATTCTCCGAAATCCTTTTTCAAACTTTCGGTACTTCTTTTCGTGTTTTAATTTTCGTTCAGTTTTAATTTCCACGCAATCAATCTGAAACAATGTTACCTGTACAGGTTTGACTAGATAGTAACGATGAAGGCAAGGTCGTTAGTCCTCTTGGTCGGACTTTTGTGCTTGTGCTGCTTGGGAGGCACGGCACAAGCAGAGGCGGAGTACATGGCATACAAGGACCCCAAACAGCCCATAAATCATCGTATAAAGGACCTTATGGGTCGAATGAAGCTAGCTGAAAAGATTGGTCAGATGACGCAACTGCATCGTGCCAATGTCACAGCTGACATCATGAGGGACTTCTCATTAGGCAGTATACTGAGTGGTGGAGGGAGTGTGCCGCGGCTACAGGCCAGTCCACAGGACTGGATCAAAATGTTCAATGAGTTTCAAAATGGTTCACTTTCAAGCCGGCTTGGAATCCCGATGATTTATGGCATTGATGCGGTTCATGGCCACAATAATGTTTATAGGGCAACAATTTTCCCACATAATGTCGGACTTGGAGCTACCAGGCATGTGCAAGTATTCAACATACATATTCATAGCTACCTTGGAAAACTATGTTTTTACCAGCTACTTAAGTTCTTTAATTTGTTTGACGATTTGCTGATCTTGTAGGGATCCGGAACTAGTGAAGAATATTGGTGCTGCAACTGCTCTTGAAGTTAGAGCTACTGGCATCAATTATGTATTTGCACCATGCATTGCGGTATGCTATCAAATAACTGAACAATTTTGGGAAGTTGTATATTTTTTTGTAGTAGTTGGATTGATGTTCATCTCTTATTAATGATCACTAATTCATATTAAAATTAATCTTTAACCCTAATGTACTGGACACTAGGTCTGCAGAGATCCGAGATGGGGTAGGTGTTATGAGAGTTATAGCGAGGATCCTGCAATAGTAGAACAAATGACTGATATCATACTCGGATTGCAAGGTGAACCTCCAGCTGGTTTAAGAAGGGGCGTTCCTTATGTTGGTGGAAAGTAAGTTGATCAAGTATATGTTGTACGTACTTCTGCTTAGAAAAATCAAATATCCTCGACTCAGCTTTGTTACCACGCTACCTAGTTACTGATCGGAGTAGGTATTAATAAATACAGTTTGAAACAAAAAGAAAACATATATAACTTAGTTCAGGTGTGATCATAGTTGTCGAATTTTAAGTTGATGTTGTTTCATCACAATATGTGGTAAAATTGACAATGCCATGATTTCGTTGATTATGTTAGTACTTCTAGGTTTAGAGTAAACTAGGAATTCCTGATATGAAGAACTTGTTGGTGATATTATATAGGGACAAGGTAGCCGCCTGTGCAAAGCACTTTGTTGGAGATGGCGGAACGGTCAAGGGCATCAATGAGAACAACACAGTGATTGATAGGCATGGATTGCTGAGCATTCATATGCCTGGTTACTACCATTCTATCATCAAGGGTGTCTCAACAATCATGGTGTCCTACTCGAGTGTGAACGGGAAGAAGATGCATGCCAATCACGAGCTTGTCACCAAATTTCTTAAGGATACCCTTAAGTTCAGGGTACATTAATTAACTTTGAAATTGCACTACATTAATTGGAAACACTGGCTATATATATATATACTGGAAAATGAATGAACTAACTCTATTAACTAGTGTGATTGTTCAAATTTCAGGGTTTTGTCATCTCTGACTGGCAGGGTGTTGATAAAATTACCTATCCGCCCCATTCGGATTATCCAAACTCTGTTCTTGCTGGTATTCAAGCTGGCATTGACATGGTTAGTTACTCAAATCTTAGACCAAGATATGTAAATGGTAATTTTGTTCGAGTGGTTTGGTTCACTTTTATGATACTGAAGCTGTATGTTGGTTTATTTTTAGGTCATGGTTCCGTTCAATCACACCGAGTTCATTGATATTGTAACAACCCATGTCAACAACAAATTAATCCCCATGAGCCGTATTGATGATGCCGTCAAGAGAATTTTGAGAGTCAAGTTTGTGATGGGTTTGTTTGAGAACCCGTTGGCTGATCAGAGTTTTGTTGACAAGCTTGGAAGCCAGGTTAGTACTCTTGATCAGATATGCTAAATTGTTTTTAAACAAAAAATAAGCATAATCAAGTAATATGAAAATGTGTACCTATGTGTGCTTAATAATGTGCAGACTCATAGAGATCTGGCACGCGAAGCAGTCAGGAAGTCGCTTGTGCTGCTGAAGAATGGGGAAAATGCAGATGCACCAGTTCTACCGCTCTCTAAGAAGGCGAAAAGGATCCTAGTTGCTGGAACTCATGCCAACAACTTGGGCTATCAGTGTGGAGGTTGGAGTCTCACGTGGCAAGGACTTACCGGCAACAACAACACTGCTGGTTCGTATGTACTTATAATTGTTTTTCTTTTTTTTTTTATATGAGCGATAGTGAGGAAAGAGGAATCAAAAATAGGATTTCGGGTGCAAGGACAATGCTCTTAACCGCTTGGATATAATTTCTACTCATACGAGTATACTTAATTAATTTAAACATCGATCATATTATTGTAACTGAAATATTTTATGTGCATACAGGAACCACCATCCTAAGCGCCATCACAGCTGCAGTTGATCCCAGCACAGAAATTATGTTCAGCGAAAACCCTGATGCTGATTTTGTCAAGTCTAATAACTTTTCCTATGCCATCGTTGCCGTTGGGGAGCCCCCTTATGCTGAGACCAACGGGGATAGCTTGAATTTGACCATTGCGGAACCAGGTCCAAGCACCATCACCAATGTTTGCGGTGGAGTCAAATGCGTGGTTGTCGTTGTCTCTGGCCGTCCTGTTGTGATTGAGCCCTACGTTTCCTCGATTGATGCGCTTGTGGCTGCATGGCTTCCGGGAACTGAAGGCCAAGGAGTGAGTGATGTTCTTTTTGGAGATTATGGATTCACAGGAAAGCTTCCTAGGACATGGTTCAAGACAGTAGATCAACTCCCTATGAATGTTGGTGATGCACATTACGATCCCCTCTTTCCCTTCGGTTTTGGACTTACAACCGATCCAGTTGATCAGTCATCTTAGTTAAAACTTGTTCTAGCTCTCTCTTTGTTCTACTTGTCATTTTCTGGATTAATAACTCAACCCCTTCGGAATTTAAATTATATGTTCAATGTTTTTTTATTTCTTCTATATTAGAGAGAAAGAGAGAGTTAATCAGCCGCATGAGCTGCGGAAATACAGGAAGATAAAAATCTCACTAGAGAAGTTGGCCATGCTCAACAATAAGCAAACTCCGTCGCATTCGTAGCAACACGACTAAGGACTTCAAATAATCAATAAGCAAAGAGTATACTATCAACCAAGCTCGATAACATGTAGGCGGCCAACAGCTTTCTTTTTGTCCAAGTTTTTATCATAAGTAAACATTCTTTTCGGTTGTCCTGAAAAACTCGGAATACACGAATGGATGTGGGTTGAAGTTGCTCGGAATCTTCATGACGGTTCATTATATATACTCTAACAGCCTATCCAACAGCTGCTGCGAACTTGAATTTGAAAATACAGTCATGAATCTCGCTATCTAGTTGAATTTGAATTGAATCCAAGCGTCTAACAGTCTTTTGTTTATTTCGAATAAATAATATTAGTGTAAGAGAGTGCAAATAGCGTTACATGCCCACTCCTACGGGGACTGAGGAATGCATCGGACGGCCGCAAATAGCTCCATCTTATAAGCAATGCCTTGAACCTTTACAACTTAACGACAATTATTCCTATAAATATACCACATCAGTCGATTCGTGTTGCATCACATACATTCACATTCTCTTGTTTTGTATATTGCCAAATTTCCAACATTAGTTGGCTCACTCGTTCTATTAATATTGATCTGGTATACTATTTTTCTAGGCTGATTCTTTACTCTCTTTTCTTTCCAGACTTCCTATAAATATACGGCTTCCGCGATGAGTCATCTTTCTCTTTTTTTTTTTTTTTTTTTTTTTGTAAGTTTTATTTTCCAATAAAAAGGAATGCTGTTTCCTAGTTTACTCTCTTTTCTTTTCAGAGTTCGAATGTATACTTAGAACAGGTTAAACTTGATCTGTTTAACGTGTACAGGTTTAATTTAATCGAAGTAGTTTCTGATCGAGGATGATAAAGCCGAGTTCATCAATCCTCTTAGTGGGACTTTTATGCCTTTGCTGCTGGACAGAAATGACAGAGGGAGAAGAAGAGGACATGAAATACAAGAACCCTAAATATAGTATTAATGATCGGGTAGAGGACCTTCTAGCCCGAATGATGCTAGAAGAAAAGATCGGTCAGATGGCACAAGTAGACCGTGGCAATATCACAGCTGAGGTCATGAAGGAGTACAATATAGGCAGCATTCTTAGTGGCGGGGAGAGTGTGCCACGAACACAGGCTACTACGCAAGATTGGGTCGACATGATCAACAGGTTTCAGAATTGGTCACTTGCAACTCGGCTTGGAATCCCTATGATTTACGGCATTGATGCGGTTCATGGCCACAACAATGTGTTCAAGGCCACAATCTTCCCGCATAATGTTGGACTTGGAGCTACCAGGCAAGTCATTATTCTTTGATAAAGAACAACCCGAAAATTATTCGTTGAAAGGAATTTAATCATCAACCTATCCTAGTCCTAACTCATTTCCTCAACCTCCTCCGCTTGCACTTGCGCTAGTAGTGTTCATTTGGGTGCTTTTATATGACAATTTCAGGGATCGAGAACTTATCAGGAGGATTGGTGCTGCAACTGCTCTTGAAGTTAGAGCTACTGGCATTCAGTATACATTTGCACCATGCGTCGCGGTAATGCTATCCATTCCTTGAACAATTTGGCGTTCAAGTTGCAATATTTTGCGAGCGATTGGAATCACCTTTATTCTCAGATAATCAGACCACTTGAATGAACATGTACAATGAACAGGTCTGCAGAGATCCGAGATGGGGTAGGTGTTACGAGAGTTACAGCGAGGATCCCAGTATCGTAAAACAAATGTCCGAATTAGTGATTGGATTGCAAGGTGAAATTCCAGCTGGTTCACCAAAGGGTGTTCCTTACGTTGGTGGACCGTAAGTTGGACTAGTATTGTTCTACTACTGTGTTCATTCATGAATGCTAAGTCTTACTACCATGCATTTTTCCTCATCCCATTAATTTCTTCATCATGATGTATGTATATATAGGGATAAGGTGGCGGCCTCTGCGAAGCACTTTGTGGGAGATGGCGGCACCACCAACGGCATCAACGAGAACAACACTGTAATTGATTGGCAAGGATTGTTCGAAATTCACATGCCTGGTTATATCGAGAGCATAGCCAAGGGTGTGTCCACTGTCATGGTGTCCTACTCCAGCTGGAACGGAGTCAAGATGCACGCTAACTACGAACTCATCACCAAATATCTCAAGGACACCCTTAACTTTAAGGTAAGGTACAACCAAACTGTAAAGTTCAACTACAGCTGGGGTATCCAAATATGTTCATCAAATGACGTAACAATGTTTCATTTATCCGATAAAATGGGACACAGATGGCAGTAACGCTATCATCAATGATGCGGCATGTTGTTAATTTTGCAGGGTGTTGTCATCTCTGACTGGCTGGGTGTTGACAAAATTTCGAATCCACCCATGACGAATTATTCGAACTCGCTACTTCTTAGCATTCAAGCTGGTCTTGACATGGTCAGTTGCTATATATCTTCAGCTTCCATGTTATCAATGCACAATATACATGAATGTTGGTACTGTAACTGCACCACATCATATTGTTTTTCAGATCATGATTCCCCACAATTATACTTTCTTCGTCAAATTTCTAACCAACCATGTCAATGAGAATCGAATCCCAATGAGCCGTATCGATGATGCAGTTAGGAGAATACTGTCTCTCAAGTTCATGATGGGTCTGTTCGAAAAGCCGATGGCAAGTTACGAATATATTCCCTGGCTTGGATGCCAGGCACACAGAGATTTGGGAAGGGAAGCTGTGAGGAAGTCACTCGTTCTTCTGAAGAATGGAAAAACCCCAAATGATGCACCAATGCTGCCACTCCCAAGAACGGCCAAAAGGATCCTTGTTGCTGGAACCCATGCCAACAATTTGGGCTATCAATGTGGGGGTTGGAGTCTCACTTGGCAAGGAGTAAGTGGCAACAACCATACTGTTGGTATGTACGTGACGTAACAATGCTGAGTGGCAGAATAGTTAAAAGATGACATGCGGTCAAATTTGATAACCAAAAATACATGTTATGCTTTTCAAACTGAACTGTTCTCTCACTCGGTAGACGTGCTTTACATTAATACTATATAGTTGGAAACAAAATGTTTACCTTTGTATTCGAAACAGGAACCACAATACTAGGTGCCATCACAAAAGCAGTTAACGAGACCACAGAAATTTTCTACAGTGTAAATCCCGATCTTGAACTTGTCACGTTAGGTAAGTTCGATTACGCTGTGGTTGCTGTTGGTGAGCTCCCCTACGCTGAGACGAAAGGGGACGATTCAAATTTGACAATGATAGAACCAGGTCCGAGCGTTATAAAAAACATATGTGGAGCAGTCAAGTGTGTTGTGATCGTAGTATCTGGGCGTCCGATTGTGATGGAGCCCTACATTTCGTCGATCGATGCTCTCGTGGCTGCGTGGCTCCCCGGAACAGAAGGCCAAGGAATCGCTGATGTTCTATATGGTGACTATGGATTCACCGGAAAGCTTGCTAGGACATGGTTCAAGAGAGTAGATCAGCTCCCTATGAATGTTGGTGACAAAGATTATGATCCCCTCTTTCCCTATGGTTTTGGACTTACAACTCAACCTAACGCCAACTCAACTTCGGCAAACTCGTAAGTAATTGTTAAATTAGCAGATGAACTTACTTAAAACGGGTTCACCATCAGTGTGACTTCCTAGTCTAATAATGCAATGCTATGTAAAGAAAATCTTACACTTGGCATTACATTATTGGTAGGGGACACAACGTGGCAATAAAACTTTACAAGTGTTGCTTTAAATGATGCATTGGGTTGCTACATTCCTAATTTGTATAGAAGAACATCAATTATAGATTCCTCACTAAAAGGAATCATAGTCATTTAAGAAATTCTCACAAACTTTAACATGGTGTCAGAGCGGCTGCTCCTAGATCATCTCAAGCATCGTGGTCAAGCGTGTCGTTATCGTTGTCTCTTGGAGCCCTGTTGTGGTTGAGCCATTAACTTCACCGGTTGATGCCCTCGCAGCAGCATGGCCGGCGGAACTGAAGGAAGACCAGGCAATTACCGATGCTCTCTTCGGAGATTATGGATTCACCGGAAGGCTTCCAATGACCTGAGTGTAGATCAGCTCCCTATTGGCAAGCTCATCGCTCTTTTCCTTTCCCTTATCTTGCTATTTGTTTCGTTTTTGTACGAATAAGCAAGCTGTTACCAGCCGTTGGATGTAAAACAGTCTGGTAGTAAGATGGTGTAGCTGATAATGCAGACAATAAAATTTCAAACGGCACCTTAATGTACTTGTTTAGTGCCTTTCTACTGTTCTAAACGCGGTTTTATAGAGCTTGAGTAATTCATTGGCAGCACGCTACTCAAATCCAAAGTTCTTCGATATTTAAAGTCCCTCGTCCAAACACAAACACAAGTACAAACATCAAAAGCACGATATGCGCAAACAGAATTTGCATGTTTTATTTTGTGCAATTGAAAGTTTGTAAGAGTTGAGTTGTCTTGTGCTAGAACCAGAGACCAAAAAATGAACTGTGTCCAACCAAATACATCGCATCAACTAAGCATTATGTAGACCTTCCAAAGGGAAACAAAACGAAACCAGCAGACAACGTAAATTCCTTAATATTATACATATATACTTATTCTCATGGTTCATAGTGGCATACCATGTTATGGATTAAAAGTATTACGTGCTAATGGTTCCTTCTTACGAGCAATACAATCTTACAAGGAAATTGTCAATGGATGAAGCTAATGGTTCTTCAGTATCTAGACTTGAGCATATACAGAAGCAAACATACTTTGTACAAGATCTCCC